AAGAAACAGTTATCTGGTCACATGATCACTGTTGAGTCGTCCAGACAGACCTCAGATCAGTGTGAAGTCGCTCTGACACCGGTCACGTTTCAGTTTGTGACGACAGACGTTGTCAGATATCCACTAAAATAACTGTTTGTCCAGATTGAGTGATCTCATTAGGTTTATAGGCTTCGTCCAGGTCACGGTTCATTAATAATACTCTATATAATAATATCCTGGGACTTTGGAAACATCAGCATCGTCTTTGATTTCCTTCCCGTGCAGCGTTTCTGTGTAGTAACAGGTGTAATGAGAGGAAACGGTCGCCAGGTGGCAGCAGAGAGAAGTGTTGGTGTTAAACAGAATGATCCACCCTAAAGTTTCAGATTCAGACTTCACACACAAGCAGAAGCTGCAGAGTCGTTTCATCTGTTGCTCACAGGTTTTTCTTTATTTGGAAATGAAACTCTTCAGACTTCTGTTCGTTTGACAGGTTTGTGATCAGGAGCACAAAAATATCCTGAACATCAATCTGTGACTCCAGATTCCCTGAAAACGCTGAAGGAACGGCGGAGGTCTGGACTCCTAGAGGAGGAAAGGTTTGTGATGAACGCGCCTCGGTGTGATTACAGACTCACAGAAACACTGAGAGGGACGAACAGGAAAGTTCGACACTTTGAATGAAGCTGTTTTTCTCTTGGTGTGCGGTCGTCTCCGTCCCGAAGACGCTTAAAAACAGCACGGAGGGCTTTATCGAGTCGAACCACACGTCTCAAAGGTACAAGTGAAAGATTCTTTCTGTCCGGTGGTCTGAAGAAAGTCGTCTCATGACCTCGATCCGCTTCTTGAGATCAAAACAAGAAAACCGGTTCCGAACACGTCACACATGTAGATCTGGTTCTCAGTCCTCATCAGTGCTCATGAGCTCTGGGATCAGAGATCCTCTGTACGGGGGTTTGACGGTAAATCCACACCAGCTGTTTCTGGCGCAGTCCGAGGCTTCTCACATGGCGCTGACGTCTTGCTTCAGATTCCCCACGAGCCGAGCCATTCTTACCCCCCGCCGCCGTCTCTGAAGCACATGACACTAATAGAGAGCCTAAGCCCCTCCCCCTCTGGTGGACCCCCATGGGACCTTTCAACGGAGAGACAACTAATGTTTTGACCCGTTTGAATTTAGTCCTGAGTTACACACACGATGTTTAAGATAATTTAATTCAAGAAAGTCACAGTTTGTGACATTAGGTTATTATATATTTTCATACTACATATCTCATAATTTTGACTTAAGTAGGTAAAATAATTCAAGTTATTTATTTTTTTATTTTGTTAACTAATTTATCATTTTATTTTAATTGACTTTCCAAAACATTTCAATGTCAGTTTAGTCTAATATATCATATTTTTTTAAATAAAAAAGCCAAATTTAAACTTAATAATTAAAGATTGTCAATTGTTCCCTTGAGTCCAAATGTTGATAGTTATATTTATTTATATTTAGTTTCTTAATTTCACTGAAATATTTTGACCTTTTGAGTCAAAATTATTTCTCACAATATGATTTAAAATGTGACAAAATTTACTTACAGTGACAATCAAGAAAGTCACCTTTTGTCATAAAACTGCTGAAGTATAAGGCTGTGAAAATACGTAATTACTAAGAACACAAACCCGCTAACGTTACTGTAGCTAATGTTACTGTAGCTAACGTTACTGCAGCTAACGTTACTGCAGCTAACGTTACTGAAGCTAACGTTACTGCAGCTAACGTTACTGCAGCTAACGTTACTGAAGCTAACGTCAGAGCGCTTCCATGTGTAGATGATGTGATGAAAGGACCAGGAGTCGTTGGATTAAACACATCAGGTGAGATACACAATGAACATTAGCTTAGCATTACAGCGTTCACATGTTGTATGTTGTGCGAGAGGAGAGATGTAGATCATTAAACGGTTTCACACAAAACCACGTTATTTTCCTGTTTTACGACAAACTGCGACTTTCTTGACTTAAATTATCTTTTAAACTGACAAACATCATGTGTGTGACTTAGAGCAGAATTCAAACTAGACAAAAACATTTGTTGTCTCTCGCCGTTGAATACGGAACATATTTATTCTGAAATAAGGTCCCATGGGGCGGAAGAGGAAGCGATGGACTTGCGTACTCACAGATCGCCTAGTGTGAGTTCGCATCGGCTCTGTGCATGAAGTCGTTCATTTCCCAACCAACGTCCTGGTCGCTGGTCGTAAAGTGGAGTCATCAATGGCGACCATCAGCTTTACCTCCATTTTGTTTGAGGTTCTTTGACGTAGTTGGGCGGAGCTTCGGGGAATCAAAACCGGCTGACCGGATGAGTCAGGGGACATTTACATAATTTTCAGCGTTTGTCACGCTTGACTGGGATGTTTTTTGAGGTCTGTTTCACAAAGTTTGGCGTCTCTGGTCTCCAGCGTCTGTGTGAAGACATTACCTAGACATCATCTAATTAAACCTTGGTCCAAATCATAAAGTAGTTCTGAGGCTGAAGGTCTTGTGCATCACTGTGATGGTGACCGTCCTGGTCTGGTCCTGGTCTGGACCGGGTCTGACTGTTCTCTGGTCTCTTTCATTGGCATTATGTCCTGCAACATTTCAAAGAGTCCTTACTTTTAAAATCCTTAGCGGACCTTCATCCAGAAAGACCTCTGGGGTTCTTTACAGTGATGTGAAGTTCAGACCAAATCTGTCCTCCGGCCTCTTCCCTTCCTCCATCAGATAATCGTCTTCACGCCGGTCGGTGCGGGAGGAAGCCGCTGCTGCTGATATGCTAACGGACCGCAGGGCTCAGACTCATCCTCCCGCTGAGCTGTTTGGCCCTCGCTGGGTCGTATTTACTCCCTCAAATATCCAGTAAACTCGTGTATTTCTGGTGTATTTGTCGCACTGTGCAATGTAAAGCAGCATAGGATGAATTTGTCTAAAAGTCATGGCCGCTTTCAGCTCTGTGTGTTTCCAAACCGTGTAAATAAATGTTCACGTTGAGAAGCCATATTGTAGTTGGGCTGAACGCCTGGCTAGCACTCGCTTTAGGGCACTTTGGTTTAGATATTTTAGAGTGAAAGCAGATGTTGAACCTCCTCAGAGGGGTTGAACCCACCACTTTATTTATTCTGATTGACGACAAATTTAGTTTCTGTGAAAGTTTTTTTTTATTTTTTTCCTTGCGGCTTCGCTGCGTTCTGAATGTTCGCCGCCGGCTCGCCGATCGATGGCTGTACATACTGTCCACATGCTGTGAGGTTTTGGTCGTAGTGAAAATGTTTCGAAGGCTTAGAGGCAAAAATAAAAACGTTTTGAAAACAAAAGTCGAAGGTGTGAGAGTTATTTTTATTGTTACAGCGCAGAATTTGTTGATTAAATATTTCCAGGCTGTTTGGTGAAGAAGAGAAACCACGTGAATACACATAACGACAATACACTGATGTCGACGACAAGAGAGAAGGAAACTTTACTGCTTAAATAAAGTGCAACAGTTCTTTGTAGTATCCTCAGGTTCTAATTGATTCAGTCATTGATAGGTGATAGAGTGCAATGAAATATAAGTGTATGGAACAGACTGTTTTTAGTGTACGTTACTGCATGATGCCCAAGAAGAAAGTTTATCTTAAATTATTGACGAAAACACTGCAGGTAAGTCAAAGTTAAAGACGTGTCAGAGCTTCCTCATCATGTTGATCAACTTAACTCACAGCTTTGATTTAATATCCTATTCATTTAATATCCAACACACAACACAACTCCGGTTTTCCTACACAGCCCTGGGTCTGTGAATGGAGCACAGAGAAAGTGGCCCGGACCGATCCTCATTCCAGCCAATCAGCGACAGGCGGCGGTAGCGCCATGTTGCAAACACCGGTACGTGCTGGATTCGGTACGGGACCCCAGGTGCTGGACAGAAGGAGGGACGGCCCAGAAACAGCCAGAGAGGAAAGTGAAGAGTACAAAAACAAGTTGACCAGGTGAGAGCGTTTTATGTACGAGGCTTTCAGTGCTCGTTAAACCTCAGAGACTTGAAAGGAAGGAAAACCGACCGGAGGCTCCGTTTCTGCTGGACAGGTGACGTTAGCGTTCCTGCTTCACATTAACGAAAGGTCAGTCCTGTCTGTCGTCATGTTTACGGCTGATCCCAACTATTAGCTTTGTTAGCTTTGTTAGCAGTAACCGAGCTAACGGTAGTAGCATTATCTGTCCATATTGATCCAAAAAGGTAGGTGGCCTAAATTTACTGGAGAGACGCTGAAGTCAGCTTCTGGTTCGGCAGTTTAAGGGAAAGTTACAGTGATGAGCGACGGAGCGTCAGTGCGTCATATTCAGAAGGATCTAGCGACAGCGCTGCAACATAAGAGCCATGTTTTCAGCGGTGTGTAAAGACCTTACATAATGAGCCGTTATGTTTGAGACACCGCGGGGCCTCTTACAGGGAAGAACCCATGTGGCGCCATGTCTCTACAGGAGCCCAAACAGACAAACTGCTCTACAGAGTGCGTTTCGTTACTACGTTAAAGACAAGAAGAAGAAGTATCAGTAGTCGTCGTCGTCATCTGGTTTGTTAGAAGTAAGAAGAGAAGATAAATTTGGATAAATGGTCGACCACACGTGTTATTTAGCTCAGAGCCGACAGAGCGTGTCGGCCACGGTAGCTTCTCCTGCTCGCCAGCGATGACTGAGAAGTTAGTTGCAATTCACAACCCTCACCACTAGATGCCACTAAAACTTACACACTGAACCTTTAATGCTTCCTGAAACCCACTTTAAGATTTGTGAGACCTTTATTCTATTTGAGAAAATGGAAAAAAGACTATTAATGTTTTTTTCACATGTAGACCTCAATGGACCAGGTCCAGATCAAAAACCACTATGCTTAGAACCGTCAACTTACGGACTAGATTGTCCCAGAGAGGCTAAAGTTTCTTTAAAACACAGTTTGAGAATCGTGAGACCTTTATTCTATTTGTGGAAATGAAAACACATGTTTTAAAGGCAAAAGCACAACAAACATTTTGAAAACAAAAGTCTGAGTCATATTTATTACAAGTTTCAGAAACGTCAGTGCAGCATTCGCTGATTAAATATTTCCAGGCTGTTTGGAGAAGAAGAGAAACCACATGAATACACAGTATTAGTAAAAACACAGACAGCTTCTGACTGACGTGGACGACATGAGATATTCAAACTTTACTGCACAACAAGTCTTTAACGGAGCAAGATTAATCCTCATCGATCTGAACATGTTCACCCGCCAACTGTTTCTAATCGTTTAGTTTTCAGGAGCGATGGACATTTAGGAAATGTGGAGCTTTTATTATTCCACATTTTCTTAAATTATGAACAAGATAAAATGATTAATGTCAAAGATGTCAGAACATCCTCATCATGTCTCTCAAAACTAAACAGTTTTTCTTTTGACTATTTGATTTAACTGACTTATGAGTAAAGTCAAAAATTAAGTCATAATTCTGACTTAAGTGCGTAAAATAATTCAAATATATAAATTTTTTAAATGGCAAAAATTGACATTTCATCATTTTACATAAAATGTCATGTCAAAACTTAAATCACAATGTACATCATAATTTTGACTTGAATATGTAAAATTATTCAAGTAAATTGATTTTTAAATGTCAAATTTGTCATGCAGTAAAAGGTCTTAGTTTTGACTTCCTAAGTTTGCCACTTTCAGCTTTATAGTTAAAGATTATGAAAATGGTCACTTCTGAGTCCAAATGTTGATATTTTCATTTAGTATTTCTGAATTTGACGGAAATATTTTAACCTTTTGAGTCAAAATGATCTTCTAATGTATTTGTCACAATAGGACTTTACACATCACAACTTTTACTTACAGTGAGTATTTTATTTTCTTCAGTCATTTAAAATATTATTCTTCCTTGATAAAATGTTGCAACAGGTGAGTAACACTTGTTAACCTGCTCTGATGTCACTGCAGGTGAGACATGCTGCGTTCGTGCCCGGACAGAAAATTGGAAATTCCACTTTCCTACAGGACGAAGAAGCAGATCAGCTCTTCAGGTAACACAACACACACACACACACACTTTGTAAACAGCACAGATTTACACCAACAATAGAAATTCATAAAAAAAAATTCTCTGTAGCTGAAAAATGTTCCAAGATTTCAAATTTAAGGACTTTCAAGGGGTTGTTATGTCTCATTCAAGCATTGGGTTCATTAGTCATCACGCAGCCCGCAGAAATAAACTCTATTTAATGAAACCACATAAACAAAATATAAATTAATTAAAAATTATGTAAAAAGTTGAAAATTAACCAAAGGGACAAATTTCTGAAATAAAAAGAAACAACTCATTTTAAACCTGCGGTTTGTATTTCCTTTAAATGTAATTAAAATACATTTTTTAAAACTTTAAAACACTTCTTTGGTTAAATTTTACATTTCTGTTGACTTCTGTGCCGCAACATGTTGACAAAACCCAAACTACAACTTCCTGTTGTGAATTACAGCCTCAGTGTCCGTCTTGAACGCAGCACTCGCCTCCTCTGCAGGTGAACGAGCGTTCGAGTCCGACTCTACTGAGTCTCTGCTGGAGGTTTCCATGTGTCAGTCTGCTAATTAAAGTCCAGTTCTGCAGAGTTCTGGTTCCTGCAGGATGAGACGACCATCCTGAAGATCCTCCAGATGGGATTTTATTTCCTGCTTGTCACTGATCGGCCATGGGCGGCTCCTCTTCTTCCATTGGCTGGCTGCCGAAACCGCTGTCGACCGTAGCGTCTGATTGGACAGAAAAACACCGAAAAGGTTTGAATCGTGTACGAGTCCACTGAGCATGTTTATATTTACAGATACACAACTTTATTTATAAAAACCTAACTTTACTTATAAACTTTATTTACAGTTACGTGACTTTATTTATGTAACGTAAATTTAGAGGAACAACATTTTTTATAGTAACGTAACTTTATTTAGCCTTATTTACAGTAAAATTACTATTTATGACGTAGCTTTATGTTTAGTAACATAACTTTATTTACACATCATGCAGACACCAGCTGTGGTTCTTTCACCAAGATCTCATTTCAGTCTGCAGACCATCAAAATGTTTGAAAATACTTGTTTTTAATCTGAATTGTTAATATTGTCAATGATTAACAGACTTTCAATGGAAAGTTCGCTTTATATACTGTGTGTATATATATATATATGTATGCATTATCGTTTAGAAACAATGTTCTAATATGTTGAGTGATCTGCATGTTTTATAGACATTTGTCTTGGATTTTTGGTTCGTGACGTTTGTTAAAGTGACAAAATGAGAATTCAGACTAACAGCTGAGTTTGTGCTGAATAAAAGACACCGTTCATCTGTTTACAGTCACATCGTGTTACCTGTGCTGTGTTTGTCGTCTCGCAGCTCGGTGTTTCTCAGCAGTCGGACTCCTTCTGTCAGACCGAGAGACTCAAGAGCTTCGACCAGACCTTCGACTGGACCTCCACCCAGCTGCACAAACAGACGCAGGTCATCAGACGTCACATAGGTGAAACTGGACTAAGTTTACGTAGTAACCATTAACCATGTGGCTCCACAAGGCGTCCTGACAGACCGCTGATTGGAGGTGGGGGTATTTACCTGGTAGTGCTGCAGCAGGTGGTGGCACGGCGTCGGACTGTCCAGGTACAGGTGAGTCAGCATCATCATCCCCAGCTTCTCCGCCAGTTTTTCCCAGGGAACGTCTCCGACACTCAACACCTCCACCAGCCGGGACAGCGTGTCCTCGTCCAGCCCCGAAGTCTCCGCTTCTGCAACGTCAGCACAGGTTTGATACCAACTTTAATCAAACAGGCGTTTCTCTTCCTTTATTTCTGTTCGTCAGTGAGTAAATATCAGTGTCCATCAGTCACACGATGTTCAGCATGACAGTCTGAAAAAACAACAAACCTTCACTGGGTTTCATCTTCTTACTGCTGTGACGACTCGACTTCGGACTCTGTCTGGAGTTTAACAGGTTTCGCACCTGGAGAGGAGACGAGGAGACGTTACCATCTTTGTCTGGACTGACTCTGTAGTGTTTTATTTTGAAGGGATCAGGTACCTTTTGGCACTTGGCGAGGTCCAGAGGGGTGTGTCCCGCTGCAGGTCTCTTGCGAGGGTTGACTGGCAGTGAGGCGGCCTCGCGCTCTCTGATTGGCCCGGTGTCGTCTTCTTCGTCTGAAGAGGAGCTGAAGAAAAGCGGCTCGTCGTTCTCCATGTTCTTATCAGCGCCTGAAGAACAGCCTCGGTTTAATCTCAGCAGAGTTTCTGTCCCGATTAGGGCTGCAGCTAACGATCCATTAACTATTGATTGATCAGTCTATAAATGGTGATCAGCGTTTCCTGAAGCTCAAGATGACGTCACTCAAATGTCTCTCCACAACCAAAATATATTCAGTTTCAATCAATTACGAAAATGGTGATTAATTTAATAGTAACTAATTGATTAATGGATAGTCGTTGCAGCTCTAGTCTATATTTTACGCTCTATTAAAAGTCAGAGGACTGAGAAGAAACATGTAAAGGTTTGAGATGCAGTTAATTTTATGTACGGCTTTAACTATCGATCACTTTCATTATCGATTCGATATCGAAGGGACTAAATGTAAGTTTCAATGAAACTAATCAAAATTGTCATTGCCTTATTGTCAGTGGGCTCAAAACTCACTTAGAAATGAAGCACACGCCTGTTTTCTCCGTTGCTTGCATCAGACACTATTCTGCTTTTAATGTGAGGTCTCCGGGTCGGATTCAGCCCTGTGCGCTCCTTTCTCGTACTACAGCGACCACACGGCAGCTAACGACATGCAGCCCACTAACACCGTAAAACAACCGGCTCCCAGCAAAACACAGACTCCACGTAAGGATCCAAAACAACAAGAAAGGTTCATGTGCTGAATCCCATCAGACCAAACGGGCTCAGATGATGTCGAGTAAGAACAAAGTGAGAAACACAGAGAAAGTCACGTTAGCTCGCCGGCTAATGCAGAACAGTTGCTAATGTTATCCTGTGCAAGGTTTTATCACTTTCCACATTACTTCACCAACTATCCTGTGTACCGCTGTTGATTTAGCCTACAAGAAAGGATGTAACGGTAAAAAGCAAATGAGGAGCGATTTGTTTACTAACGTTAGCCTATAGCGATGCAGCCAGCTAACGCTACAGCAGCTCAGACCTGCCGCTGTTTGCTTCGTAACTTTCAATTTACGTTTATTGTGGTTTTACCATCAGGTACACATCTTCTCAGTCGCTGTAACTAACGTGACCCACATAATATACAACACTGCTACAAAACGTTCACAACAACCCAGAGGAAGGAAGAGACGCCACTAGTTACAGTAAAGTCACTGACTGCGGTCTGACTGTTATAAAGAGTGACACAGTCTCGTTATAATATTCAGTCCAGCTCACCAAACGTTTCGTTATCATGTAGCTGTGCTGACGTCGCCGAGCCTCCGGAGACACATTCGCAGATACTAAAGATGGTTACTGAAAGCAGCAGGCGAGCTAACGATGTAGCACGTCGGCTAAATGCAGTAAATGTACCGCGTATCATGTAACGGATTAGTTCAACCTGCAGCTGATGAAACTGTTACTGTAACGTTAGCTGAGTTTCCAGCTCTGTCTGTTGTCCCTGCCTGCCTGTAGACCCCGTCACTCTGCGCCGGTGTTGACCTCTGAGACGGGAACGTTGAAGTAACAGAGCCTGATCACGTCTGAAGAAAAGCCGCAGCCTGCGTTTCTGTTTGTATTGTATGTATTTCTGTATGAAAGCGGTTGTGTTTCAGATTCCGCTCGCTCACGAGTTCAAGCGCTAGTGGCCGCCGGAAACTCCATCATGGCCCTTTAATCTGCCCATTATTTTCACAATTAATCAATAAAAATGTCAATAAAAATAAAATTTCGCAGAGACTTCATGTACTGACAAAGACGAGCAGCAGATCTGTCACGATCGCAACTCTCAACACAGATTCAAGAAACCCCGGTGAATTCAGAGCGACTCTTCTGAAAATGTGACCTATCTATCACGTGGAGCCAGCTGGATTCACCCTGTCTGAGTCGATTGTTAGAATAGTTGACAGTCTGCGTGTGTCTCAGTGCTTCACCTGCAGCGATGAGCATGGAGCAGAGGGTCGGCGAGCCCTGACTGGCCGCTAGGTGGAGAGGTGTGTTTCCTCCAAACGTGCACGAGTTGACGTCCGCCTTCAGCTGTGAACAACACCAACAGAGTGAGTAACGCTGTGATGTCACTGAGCAGGTGCGCAGCTGTGCACAGGTGTGCGTGTCGTACCTCTGTGATGAGAGTGCAGGCCACCTTGAACAGGTTTTCCCTGACGGCCAGGTGGAGGGCGGTGTTTCCGCTCTTCTGCTCAGGTGCGTTGATTTTGGCTCCGCCCTCCACCAGCAGACGGAGGCAGCGCTCGCCGTCCCTCCTCACCGCCAGGTGGAGAGGATGAAGACCTGAGAGAAAATGCAGGGGATGCTTTAGGGCTTCACTTCACAGGCAGCGATGGAGCTCTGTGGTGTTACCGTGGTCAGTCTCTCACCGTGGTAGTCGGGCGCGTTGACCAGGTGAGCGTGCCGCTCCCCCAGGTGAGCCAGCAGGGGGCGCAGTGTGGCGTTGTCTCCGGCCAGAGCCGCCAGGTGGAGGGGACTACGGCCATCTTTGTCCAGCAGGCTGGGGTCGGCCCCCGCCCTCAGCAACACCTCCACCACCTTCACCTGCCGGGTGATCACGGCCAGGTGGAGAGGCGTCTGCAGAGACAACAGGAAGTGAAGGCGTTAGTGGTCGGGTACTAGAGTCGGCGGCAGGTAGCTGTGATCAGGTGCATTGAAGTGAGAGCGTTAGCTACCTGTCGGAGGAGGTTGGCGGTGTTGAGGAGGTTTTGCTGCTGGCTGCTCAGCAGAGTGTGGATCAGCTGATGGATCACACTGGTCTGCTGATGGATGATGGCCAGGTGCAAAGGACTGTGGGAAAACAAACCAGCGTCAGACCTTGGAGCAGATCTTGAAATGATCTTTTTGGTGTCGACCCAGAAAGGTCACAGTGAAAAAAAAAAAACTCACGTGTCTCCGTTGCTGTCCTGGATGCCACAGAGGTGTCTCTGGATTGCCAGAAGGACCCGGGCGTCCCCGGTGCTGCAGTACTGCAGGAGGGCGGCAGCGGTCTGTCGGGCGCTCTGGGAGGTTCTGCTGTGCAGGGCGGCAGCTGGAAACACAAAGCTGGACGTTAAAGATCAGATACTCGTGTGACCGCGAGCGGGGTCAAAGGATGTCCTTCACTCTCACCGATCTGAAACAGCTGCTGCTGTAGTGGAGAGCCGGTCTGTCCGTCTGTCTGTTGCTGGGTGGCCCCTGTCTGAGGGGCGGAGCCTGACATCTGAGCCCCTCCCCCTCCGCCAAATCCTGTGAAGCCTCCGGTGAAGAAAACTCCTCCCGCTCCTCCTCCTCCTCCTCCTGCTCCATTCATCTGCTGGTTGAACTGGAATCCTGCAGGAAACAAAGTCCACAGTGAGTCAGAACAACAGTCTCAGTAAATCTTCTGTTTGATTGTTTTAAAATCAGAAACACAAACAAACTCTGCATGTTTACAACATGTGGTTGTTCCCAGTGTTGATGTGTGGAAATCCCCACTCCTGAAGCTGAAACGTTCCTTTGTTATAAAAACCTAAAGAAAAAAACAATATCTCTACCTCCTCCTCCTCCTCCTCCAAATCCCCCGGCTCCTCCACCTCGTCCTCCTCCTCCTCCGCCTCCCCTCCAGGATTCATAGTGAGGCAGCGGCTTCTGCTTCTTTCTCAGCACCTCCTCTTTGTCTGAAAGACACCAGCAGAGGATGATGAGACGGAAAACATCCTTCATGAATCTGCCTGATGAAGATCTGGGTGAGTAGGTGAGGACTGAAACTCCACCGAGGGAAAACCCGAAACAATTTAACGCCAAAAAAAAAACACATCTTCCCGGGGATTTACAGCTTAGCACCTCGTTAGATACTGTGCGTGTATGAGGGCGGCGGCTGACCTTGGATCTGCGGTATGTAGGTGAACTGTTTGGGGTCGCTGCTGTCGCCGGCCTTTTTCCTCTTCAGCTGCAGGAAGACGGTGACGGGCCGCTCGATCTCTGCGCTGTGATAGGGCGGCGTTTTGAACACGATGGCGTACTGAGGAGACAAAGGAGAGGGTGAACGCTGTGAGAGAACAACACTGACAGTCAGGATTCAAACCTGCACTGAAACACTTTGTGTTCAGGTCCATAGATGGAGTTACTTCAGTTTCCAGGGTCAAGCATTAAGTTTAAAGCTCAAATTCTTATTGGCCCCCTTTAAACCCACAGTTCAGACAGTTTAACTGTTGCTTTATTAATTTCACTGTTCATTACTAACTCCTGTGCACGAGCTGCTGTTGCTCTGCTGCTCATGTTTTTGCATTTTTCCTCCAAGAAAATCACATTTTCTGACCCCATAAAAGACGTAATGACAGAAGTAAACGTGTTCAGTTTATAAAACAACCTGTGATTTATGATGGCTAGAACCACCTGTGGAAAACTAATAATCTGGGTTTAATCAAGGATCAATAAGATTTAGAGTCAAAGCTCCTGTATCAGCTGGGGAAAAAAGAAATTCAGTTTAGTGATTGTTCAGAAAGGATTTGTTGTAGAGCCAGCGGCAAGGCGACTACGAGACGTTTGTCTTTACAGAATGTGATCGTGATCTCAGGTGTTACATTTATCTATCATCATTTCACAAACTCTTCTGTTTGAGCCTGTAAAATGTTGCTCAGACGTTTAACAGACAAAAAGCAGGTTTTAACATGTTAACATGAGACAAACCCTGCACGCTGCATAACCACTCACTTCATATATAAACTAATACAGTGTAATACAGTCTCTGCTGGTGTGGACAGGATATCCTGCCTGTGTCGTCTTTTTTTGAGCTCTTTGTCTGTTTCCACTTTCCTGTATGTGTTCAGGTAATCAACCACAACAAACATGCTGAAGCTGAAGCTGAACTTATATAAATCCAAATGTTTGAACCAGATTGTTTCTGTTGTGGTAAAAAAAATAAAAATAAAAAAACAGTCTGAAGGAATTCCCCGTTCAGCTGAAAGTGGAGCTGCTGTTTGTCGCTCGTGTTTCCAAAACATTTATCAGACTGACAGAGTGACTCATTCACACCCTTGTTCCTCTATCCCTGTGGGGCAAGTTAGTTAAGAACAAATTCTCATTTACAACCACGGCCTGGCGAGAAGATCAGATTAACGAGGCCTAACATATTAAACCATACAAAAGGGATGAGGTTGTAAATCAACTGCAAACATCTGAGAAGGTCTATAAGAGAATAAAGTTACCCTAATCTGGACCCTCAAACAGCGTCTCTACAGAGGTCCCCACAGTGACACGAGTCCCCCTCAGGTTAGTGTGCAGCCCGGTATAGTCCCCAATAGGATATTAAAACATGAAACACACACACACACACACACACTCTGTACCTGTTTGTGGACATCTGTGGGGGAGAAGTCGCCGAACGCCTCCCAGCCTCCCTCGTCGTCCTCCTCATAAAAACGGATCTCGATGTCGTCTGTAATGAGCAGATGCATGATGGGATATTTCTCCAGTTTGAGAGACATTTAAATAATAAACAGGTAACAAACAAATAAACACCTTTAAACAATCTTTACCCACAAACTACAACAACCAGCGGTGGAAGGTAGCTAAGTACATTTACACCATGTACTGTGCTCAGAGGGAAATACTGCACTTTCTACCTCAGTACATTAATTTAATCACATAAATATAATGAATAAATAAATCCTGCTCAGAAGTATAGGACGTCTTTAAAATGAGCTCCACATTAATGCATCAATTATTATTATCCAATACTATATACTATGTCTGTACTTTAAGTATTCTTGATGTTGATACTTTTGCAAGTAAAATTAAGATTTTGAAGGCAGGAATGTGAGTACTTCTTCCACCGCTGATGATGACGTGCATATAAACTCTTTTTAGCAGCTGCAAAGGATCAAAACCTCTTGACTGGAAGAAATCATTATTATGATTTGGCAGAGACATCACTCAGAAAAACGTTGCATCAAAGCAAATGTTTTCACCTTTCTGGACTTTGTCACAGAGCAGGAAGATCTCGTCTCCCCCGAGCACCGAGCCGCACGTTTTGTCCATCCGAGAGATTTTCAGGTTGGAGGCGTTCGGCGACTCTGCAGGAGGAAAACTGACCGTCAGGAATGTCGAGATACTCGAGAAACCGCTGAGACCAACAGAGTCTGTAAAAGGCTCCACATGTGCATTTTAACATTTACTCCTATAAACTTAGTCACTATTTAAAAGCTACTAGTTCTTATTCATTAGTTAGCGGTAGCTATTCTATTTTTTACTACCAGTCACTAATAAAATGTAAATAGTTACTAGTAACTAATGAATAGATGATATCTGAACTTTTCAATGGGAACTATGTGCAATAAGTTACTAGTAACTAAAAATTTGTTTTAAGGAATAAATGTTAACCAACTTGTGTTTAAAGCAGCTTCACAAGTGAAATCTCTGAGCCACAGATGGTTAAAAACAGACAGTTGTTTGGGACTCACTGCTGTCGTAGATGGGGTTGGAGACGACGGGCTTCAGTGCTCTGGTGAAGCCTCCCTGGCTGTCCTGCAGGTAAGCGGTGAACTTTAACCTGACTATGTTCAGGTCCATCACTTTGCCCAGCTCCTTGGCCTCCTTCAGGATGGAGTTTTCCTCTGCTTCTGAAGGCGGAAAGACAGCCGAGCGTCAGACAGCTGACACTGTTTTTGCTCCTGATGAAAGCCACGAGGCCACAACGTCTAGCTTTCATCATTTTACACATAAAGTCGAGGCTTTTAAACAAGATTCTGGTTGGGACATAACATCAGAACAAAATATATATCATAAAGAATAAAACTAAAAAACAGCAATGTCTTAAACAACTGGACGACATGTTGTTACGACTTGTACGATCACAAGACTCACTTACTCACTAAGAGTCTGCGCTCAGGTGAGCCGGTGTGGAAGAACCAAAAGAAACAAACAGATGAGACGGAGGACAGGTGAGTTTACCTGTCAGGTGGCAGTGAGGTCCTTTCTGCCTCTTCCTCTCCTCCCTCAGCCTCCTGCTCAGCACCTCCCCCACTCCTTTCTTGGTCACATGGAGGATCCCCAGGTTACTGAAGCTACAGGAAGTGACATCAGCAGTCAGATGATGAAATATTTCACGTTTTACATCATAACATGAAATTAGTCTCTTTTCATTTCAACTGTTTTCATCTGTTTCTTTCTTTGTTTTCAGTTGCCTGGAGAAGTTTTACTTTATTTACACACACATATACTTTATTTTAAAAGATTTTCTAAAAGTCTTTTTAATGTATTTATAACACTGATACATTAAGTTAAATCTATTTCCTCTAACAGTTTTATGAATTTTAGACACAATTATGTCATTTGTTCATTTTTAACCAGCTTTCCATCAAATACGCAGATTTTTCAGTAATTTAGCAGCAAAGGTTTGCTCTCCTGCTCAATGAAGATATTTCATAAAGTTTTAATTTCAGTATAAATCAGATTATGACTCGCGTCTTTATTAAAATCCCTCGTAACAACTGTTGTCTCCAATAACCTTTTAATTCCATCATCATTGTTATGAATAGTCCGTCTCTTCTTTAGGCGTGTTTATTGTTTCCTTGGAACCTGAACTATATAAAAATATAATCCTGACTTCCTCTTTGGGGTTTTTCTCTGGAAGGACTGACGAGGATTGAAATCATGAAAACTTTCCTCCCTGATTCCTGCTCAGGAGCTTCAGGGGGATTCTGCTGTGACGTGATTGGATACTTACGAGGCCGTGAGGTCGTTGGGGCCGACGTCCAGCATGCAAGTGCCGTTCTCGGTGCAGTGGCGTCCCACCAGACTGTGAGCGTGGACACGAGGAGGATCGGAGTGGGTCACCAGCTGGACCTCCACCCGGGCGTGGCCCACGTAGTTATTGATCTGAGACGGACAGAAAACACGTTAACAGCTGATCACAATGAAACTGGAAGAGCATTTGTGTCATAATAACTAACTAGAAACTGACAAAGCAATCGTTCGTGTTTCACCTCTCAGGGGCAGCAAAACAAGCCATGAACACAACATCAGAGCAACATGTGATCAAACAGCTGCTCGTTCCCACATCCAGGAGCAACATGATGGAGCGTTTTGTTTCGTCCGTCTGAAACACGATCCAGAGGTTTTCTGTCCACATTCTGATATCAGCCATAACATTATGACCACCTGCAACACAGCCCCGACCCACTGTGTGTTCTATCAGAACCAGCATCAACTATTCGATCTCGTCTGTTGGATCGGACAACACGAACCAGCCTTCACTCCCCACGACCCTGTCGCCGCTTCACCTCTTTTCCTTCCTCGGTACTGACCCCTGCAGACCGGTTTGGAGATGCTCTGACCCAGTCGTCTAGCCATCAGTTTGGTTCCTTGTCAAAGTCGCTCAAATCCTCACGCTGCCCCTTTTTTTTCCTGCTTCTAACATCAACTCTGAGGACACAACGTTCACCTGCTGCCTGATAGATCCCACCCACTGGCAGGCACATAATGTTCTGGCTGAGCGGTGAATGTGAACAATCGTAAAATTATTAATTATTTAAGCGTTAGCATTCAATAACAGCGTATCCCACAAGGCCTTGATGCCGTTTCTGCAGTGACACTCGTCCTCTGGGACACAGAAAGATTCCCATGGTTACATCTTACAGAGTTGGTCGACAGCGGGTTAAAAACATGTCCCCTGGTCATTAGGGCCCCACAGAGTCTATTCATGAGCTGTAGTTGTTGTGAAAGTGCTGTAAGAGTGTTGTTGACGTTACCCACCTTCACGGTTGGGTAGGTTCTCCTGTTCTTCTCGCTGGAGGCCCCTGGGAGCCCGCCATGGGATGGACCCTCGCATTCATAACGGAAACGAAAGCCCCTCTGAGAACACACACAAACACACACATATTTACTGAGCAGTTGGTGGTTAACAACGTCTCCTTCCTCTGATCAAAGCGCTGAGAGTTCGTCTGAACATCTCAGGCTTTTCTTTCACCGTTTTCTTTAGAGGCTTTAGAAGAAAGAACCTGCAGGTCTGCATTTCATTCTGCTCTAGATTACAGATCCTTCATATACAAACACTGTAGACTCTTCATCTCTTCTTCATATTTATGCTTTTAGAGATGAATATTTGGTGTCTCTGGATCAAGGTGCAGAGCTTCAGTCTGAGGAACCTACAACATCTCCTCCTGTTCATTTAAAACCTTTCTGCAGGACAAACTGTGTTTATAAACTGTTTTATTTGGTTGTTGTATCACTGTTGAGTGTTTCCACCTCTAAACAGAGTCACAGGAAGCTACTGTCAGCTGCAGTAACAATCGGTTTATTTCAGGTTGGTACATCCACTGATTGCGCAAACCTGGTTCTTCTTTTCTCTTCATACCAGAACTAAATGATTTGCATGAAGGCGGTCGGAGGACACAGTGTCACGCGACCTTTAGCTGCAGAAACTCCCTGACGTCCTGCAGGCAGGCTTTACTCACTCCCATGTTGTTTTATGACTGTTTGGGAAAACCCAGGATTAAAGGAAGTTACAGTAACGAGTGGATCCACCTGAGGAGGGGAATCACCACAGGCTGTGTTAATTAGTGTGTAGGTGAACAGGCCTTTTGTTCTTTCTGCCTGGAGACGAGTGTTTGTCTTGGTGTTGCACAATATTTATTTATATCTTTACACTGCATTAAACTACTTACATCACTACATAATTATACTGTATTACTACATATTATTATTATTATATGCTTTATTGTGACTTTAATTATATATACACTTCATTGTATTGTATTATTACTGTATAGTGTGTACTAAATTTACTGCACATACATGTACTGTATATCTGACATGATATGTTACTGTGTCTCTTAAAAGCTTCATCTTTAGTTTCTTAGTTTTAGTTTGGTTTGATTATAATGAGCCTGCATTATTAGAAAAAGGTCTAATCGCTTTATTTGAGATTAAGGACAACTTTACTTTTGATATCTGAGGACGGTTTTGTTTTTCTTTCAGATTTACATATTGTCTGCGGTAAACAGGGTACAGTGGTCTACAGGTTGTGGCAACAGTGGCAGGATACCCCAGTGGGTTTTTAAAGAAGAAGCACATTCAATCTGAATTTGAATGAGTTGCATTTTGTAGGACAATCTGCTATCTAACCAAGGTCCTGTATTGTATCTATTAGATTCCTAAGATCATAGATCTGAGTCAGAACTTAATAAATCCACGGTTCAATAAATTATTCATATTGCACTCCTGTAACACCGGAGTAATACCGTCTTTTTTTCATCCTTTTTGCTGATCAAAACCTGGTGCCTACATTACCCACTGTGCAACTCCACCACAGACAGCTGCCTCTGCCTCTAAATCAAATCAGCTGCTGATCATTAAAGAACAAACATCACTGTGTGACTTCAGAACATGAGGTCTGGAGGTCATCTGACTGTAACCCGGAGAAGGCCTGGTGTGTAGTGGGGCCAATTGCACACAAGATGGTGTCATCGGCATAAAAACAGACACTGCAATGCTCAACTAGAGAATAAATATTGTAATTGTTTAGAGTAAAAAGCAAAGGGGCCTAATGCTGATCCTGGGGACTCCTTTATTAACCAAATACTAAAGGACTTAAATCACTGTCCAGAAATTATATATTTTAAATAAGAATAAATTTAAATAGTTTTTCCCTTTATCTTCACATGAATTTTAACTCAACACTTTGTCTCCCCTCCTCTTTGGTGCTTTTGGCCCAGCTGGTCCACAAATTTAATCTGCTGTTGAAAGTCACTTCTTACAGTACGAAGAGAAACTAAATGGAAAATGTGAAAGTTTGTACAATTACTACAGACAGGAAGTAAAATATCAGCCTCACCTGTTTGGGCTCTTCGATGATTTGAATGTAGGGGCCATGAGCTGAAACACAAATAAAACTTTCGTTATTATAGCTGCCTAAAATTCAGAGGTGACTTTCTGGATTTCACCACCCACTTTCATTATTTCAACTTACATCTCATGTCTTACACCTAGTAAAAAGGTAGATTGGAGTGTTTTCCCCCCATTAGTAAGCTCTAGAAAGTGCAGCTCTAGCATCCACAGCTCTGTTCATTTACAGTTTGTGGACAGACGTGGTCTCCGTTTCTTGTAACAGGAGAATACGAAAAGTTCATGTTGGGGTTCCCAAGTACTGACGGGTACTGTTATTTTTGAGAAAATATGAGGTCTAATTTCCCTGATTCTGGTAAAAGGGTCTGACATGTCGGAGTCCGTGTTCCCAGAACTTATATCTAAAATGACAATTGAGGTTTCAGGGATCGGGGCGGCCCCGTGGCTCTGGGGTTAAGACACCGACCATGAACTGCACCGTCCCTGGTCTGTTCAGGGCCCTTAGTTGAATCTGTAATATCTCTACTGTCTGTAATAAAGGCACAACTATGGCCAAATAATAATACAAATAATAGAATACTGGAACTTATAGTACCAGGTACAAACAAGGTTCTACAAAAGTTTCTACAAAAATCTATATTCCAGAGTACCTGTCAGGTACTAGCACAGGGTACTAGTTCCAATAGAGGGCTACATTAATGTTTCCAGGTGCAAACAAGAGCTTCCAGAAATGTGTGCTCAAGATTCTTGAGTTCTTGCAAGAACTGTTCCCCTGGCGGGTTTCTAGAAAGTGCCTTAAAAATTTCATACTAGGAAGTTCTGTAAAGGCTGAATCCATGTTCCCAGGTGCAAACAACAGGTTTTCAGAAACTTAGCAAGTACCAGGGGATTCTGAAAACACTAATTGTGTCTAAGTTCCAGGTGAGTCGGCACTGGAGGAAAGTTTTAGAAGTCTAAGCTCATGTAATTGAGTCTGTCTGCGTACCTGTCTCAGGTATGTAGGGTTCGCTCTTTATGTCCACTGGAGGAAGGTAGTCGTACGGCATCAAATTCTGCAGCTGAAGAAGAAGAAGAAAATATATTTTCAGCATCTAAAACTGGAACAGAACATTTGTCAGTTCGTAAACACACCAATCAATCAAACAATAACTCAATCAACATCAAGATCTGGAGCATCTATCTTTGAGGTTTCTACAGAAAGATGAAATTTACACACAAGACCCAAAACAATGTAGTCACTGGAGACCCCGGGGGCTACACAGTCGTCTTGTCAAGTTATTAATCATGTGTTATCACAAAAAACTGACACATCTCTGGTATCCGGTATAAAAATGATTAGCTGATTGATCAGGTAGACGATTATATGAATAATTTCTTCAGTAAAAAACCCCCGGAGATGATCTGGATCCAGAGTCTGATTTAAGGTTTTGCTGCTTTTCTAAGAACCGAAAACTGAATCTTTTTGGACACTTTGTCAAATTAAATCAACAGCCTGGAGTTTCTGAGAACATTCATCACTGTTTTTAACACTAAAAGGAAATGCGTCGTCAATCTGAAAATAAAACCTGAAGCCATTTTCCACATTAGTCACATTTGTTCTTAAATTAATACTCAGTTTTTTACACCTCTCTAGACTGCAGTCATCTGTCGGGGGAAAATAACACCAGCATGGGCTCAAATAATAAATAAGAGTCTGAGAAATTCTGTTAATTATAGTTCAAGTTCAAGTTCAAGTTCATTTTATTTATATAGCACATTTTATAGCAGCCACTGACTGACCAAAGTGCTTTACAGAATTAACAGACAATAATACCATGCATAACAGCACAGCATAGAAAAGTACAGCAAAGTTAAGAACAGCTTTAAACAGGAGTAGCCATTATCTGATATCTCTGTTAGCCTTCTAAGTACTGTTTCATCTGTCTGATGTGGTGCCGTCTCAGCCAGGCAAAGAGGTTTTTTAATAATAAATAAAATAAAAATGTCTGTTGTTCTTGTATGAGCGTTTCTAAACCTGTGAAACATGTTAAAACTGAAGTTTGTGACGGTGCAGAAAGGTTTTAGAGAGACCAACTGAAAACATCTGAGTGCAGGTTCAAGGCAGGAAACGGTGTGAAAGTTACCACATTGTGTTTGAAGAAGTTAAACATGCAAATCAGTTTACCGACTTCGGTAGAAGTTGGAAAGTAGAAGATGACGGCAGACGTGATGAGCAGCTTTCAGTGGTGGCCAGTATCCATGTACGTTTATTCAATTTTTTTTTTATTCAAGTACTGTACATTTTTGAGGTACTCCCTTGAGTATTTTCTTTTCTCCTTCTGCTCCATCTCAGAGGGAGATACTGCACTTTTTACTTCACTACATTTATCTGACAGCTTCAGTTACTTTACAAACACGAAACACATGAAGAGTTTATATGTTATAAATTAAATCCAACAGTTTATACAAGTTCAGCTGAGAGGATTATTAGACTGACAGTGAATTTAAATGGCAACAACTTTGATGGTTTGAGACATTTTTCATGTAAAGATTTGCTGCTTTTCCTTTCAATCATTTTAAATTATGTTTAATTTTGAACTGAACTATATAAATAGAACTTTTTTCTTTTGATACTAATGTATGTATAAAAGCAGGTACTTTTGTACTTTGAGTCAAGTAGAAATTTAAACTGAAGACTTTTTCTTTCAGTGGAGTAATGTTTGGTGAAGGGTCTCTGTGCTTTTGCTTAGGTTTCAGGATTCGTGTACTTCGTCACCGCAGGTTGTTCTGTAAACTGAAACTCTGAGCCAACACAATCAGAACATTGTGCAACACCCAGTTCGTCTCCATCACAGCGCAAACTCACACAAATCACAACTTAAATACTTTCACGTGCGACTTCAGTGTCAGACAGGACGTTAACACAACAAGCGTTATGTTTGTTTTACGTGTCGTGTGAAAATTGTATTTACACATTCTGAGCTAAAGATCTTTTCTGCTCATCCTCCGAACTTTACAAAGGCTGATAGACAGCAGGCCTGATAAACCTTTAATTAACCAGGTGAGTTTGGGAACCTTGCTAACAAACTAATCTGTTATCAGATGCTAGAACAGGGTTGAATCAGCTTTTCAGCACATTCACAGACTGAGAGTTTCCTCTGCAGAGGGTTTTTCATAGCTTTACAAATGTTTTCAATATCCTCTTCACCTCCTCTGATTCTTTTCAAGTCAATAACAAAGAAATAAAACAGCTGCCAGGGAAACATCTGTCACATGAGGGTCAGCAGCTCTGCATGTTCTTTACTCCAGTTAATATCGTATCTCTTCTGAATCTGTAGAAATATTATCAGAACATCCTTTTTGACCCTGACTTAAACCCGTACATAAAAAAAACACTACAATCAATAAAAGTAATGGATCAGCAGAAGAAGTCATGGGAAAGAGAAAAGGACTCACGTCATTGTCGTAGATGAACGGAGCTTCAGTCATCCTGCAGCACAAACAAACAAACAAACAAACAGTTAGAGGCTGTAAACCCGACGCGCACACACAGCAGAGAGGCGTGTCCGTGTCTGACCTGAGTCACCCCGACTCCCCTCGTCTGCCGCTGAGTGTCAAAGTGTAAAAGTCCCGACAGCACGAGCGAGCCAGGAAACAACAAACAAACAAAGTAAACAACAGAATAAAACATGCAGAGGTTTCACTTTCACATGACGGGCGAGAGAGGCTCAAATACAACACATCGCTCTCTCTCTCTCTTTATTAATTCTTCTTCTGCTGCTGTTTTCTCCTCTCTCTCTCTCTCTGTGTGTCTGTGTCGTTTTACCCCCCTCCCTCTCTCTCTCTCTACCTACCTCTCCCTCCCTCTCTCTCTCTCTGTGTGTCTGTGTCGTTTTACCCCCCTCCCCACCGGGCTGCATGTTTTCAGTCACTTCCTGGAAGTGGCCGAGCGGAGGAAAACCCCCAGAATTCCAGATCAGCCCCGAGGGGGGGGGGGCGGGGCTACAGCTGATGATGTCACTGCTGCTGCTGGTTGCTGATTTCTGAGCAGGGAACCAGGAAACTGTTTGTTTAAAGCGCCGAGCAGCCGAGACACGAAGAGAGAAGAGAGAAGAGTTTGTCCTCTGCTGACAGAACCCCCCCCCCCACAATAAAACTTTAACCAGACAACAAAGTCCATGAAAATGAACAGCAGATATGAAGCTACAGAGACAAAAGACGCCCAGTGTGACGGCAGTTTGTTTATGCATGAACTTCTGTTATTACTCTTATTGTTATGACTTTCTTCTTCTTTATCCTCATTATTTCAGTCTGTCCACATGTGCAGCGTTCAGGTTGTTTTCCTCTCCCGGCTTTTCTTTGGGATTTCTTTCCCTGTCGGTACACGTACAGACACAACCTCTGTCCTTCTCTCTAATTAATAATTATTTTCAAAGACAAGATAAAGTTTGTTGTAACTCAGTTATTTGCTCGATCCTTCACTAACAATTTCTACGACAGCCGGCAGCTGTGAAGCTGATCGACACGCTGCAGCTCATCTGTTTAATCCCTTTTTCAACATTTAACATTTCCAGCACCAACAGATAAGCTGCAGAGGTTAGGATTCAGCTGGAAGCACGGCTGCAGACAGCAGAGTGTCCTGCAGCTGCAGCCTCCTGAAGGTAAACACACGGACGAGGTCTTCTAAGTCCTGCAGAAGAAGAACTCCTGATCTGTTCTTCAGGTGAGAACAGATCTGAACTACTGTGGGATCATTTCTGACATTTTACACACTAAACATCAAACACTCAGCGCCTGAATTAAAAACAAACAGAATCAGAGTTACAGGACCGACCTGACGTCTCCTGCTCAGACCTCCAGCCCGTCTTTACTTCCTCTCTGCTCGTCTTTCTTTTCTCTCGCCGCCTTTCTGCTTCGACTTCCTGTCTCTCTCTCTCTCTCTCTCTCTCTCTCTCTCGGCTCCGCAGCATCAGAAAAACCCGCCTCACTGCAGAATCTGACTCAAATCTAATCTGATTGGTCTTCGTCTCTTGACTTCAACCGAGTTCCCCCCCCCAACCCCCCTCCTGGCCCGAGGGATTGCCCCCCCGGACGACAGCAGCCAATCAGAGCGCGGCAGAGACGGCCTTCATTAACATAAACCCACAGCAGGTACAGTAAGCGAGGCAGTCAGAGGTGAGAAAACCCGACGGGGAAGTTTGGGGTTGGGGTATTTCTGTGTGACCTCTGACCTCTGCAGGAATCCACTGAGGTGATTTTACTCTCGTGTTTCCCTGAATCAGGTCAGTCTCCAGTTCCTAATAACCTGTTCTGACTGATGAAACCTCAAAGTCCCCCTGAACACCTGAGGGAAAGTGACCAGATCCAAGATGGAGACTGCAGAGCCTGCTCAGAAAGCGACGTCAGCTGTGAGGAGGCGCTCAGATCTGAAGAACTTTCATTTGAATTAATGAGCCTACAGCCGGCTGGTAAAGTACTGCAGTATTTATGTATCTACATTTAACCGTTTCTTTTAGCACCTGACGTCTTTATACGACCTGCAGTCCCTGTAGGTGACGCCAAACCAATCAGGACTCAGATCTGAAGGACTGACAGTGTCAGTATAATCAGCTGAACGTACTTTATCCAGAGTGGAACAACCAGCAGTTCCTGTTTGCCCTGTAACCGTCGCAGCCGACAGGGATCACTGGATCGGTGAGAGACTGAAGAAAACCTCTCAGCAGGATGCTAATGAGGTCGTAAGACAGGAAGTGAGGTGGATGCTGCAGGTTTATGGAAACCGTCTTCACCACCGGACGCCACAGAAGCGCTCGTGCATAATTTATTCAGTAACCGACTGCAGCAGAATGTCGGTTCAGTTAGACCTGATGCAAACTGCGGCGGCGATGGAGCAGTGGAAAAGACACATGCCTTTGGGTTGAGAGACCCGAGTTCAATCCCCCACAGTGTCCGAGCTTTCTTTATCCCCTGCTTTGCTTCAGCTCTTTTCAACCTGACCTGATGTTTTATGACCTCTAACGTCCTTCAGGACCACAGACCACGAACAGACTCTTTAACAGCAGCGTTCATTAATGTGAACCGTTACATGAACCAGGAGTCCTGCTGAGGTTCATGGTCCTGAATGAGGTCCGGTCTCTGTAAACGGACTCGTCTCAGTCCTGCGAGCAACAAGCATCTCAAATAGTTCAACTCATCACGTGACGCCTGACCTCGGGGTCTCTGTCCTCTCTGGGTGAAGGTCCGTTTCAGCTCTCTGACCGGCTGTGGTCCCGCCTGTAACCACGCCCAACAGTGATGTCACAGTTTGTTTCACACAGGTGATGCAAACTGCTGCACATCGTTTCACACTCTTCCTCTGATCTGTGGTCAACGTGTTGTAACTCAAAAGACCCGACTGGCGTCACTGTATGACACACTGGGGAGTCCTGTAGCGTCGTTTCTGAACGCTGAACAGTCAGAGAAAGGAGGCGGTTGAGAAGTACGAGCCAGAAACAGGACTTTCTACCATAAGGCCGGTGTTCGTTTGTGAAACAAAAGGGCAAAGTCGATGTTTTTATTTACTTACTTAGGCCTACATAAGTTAAGTAACGTTGTTATTTCAAGCCAAGCCAGGATCTTTCCCTGAACCGCACCAAATTACAACATTTTGAAAGTCTAACCAGACGTTGCATATTATTGTTGTTGACCACGGAGTCCTACATGTCCAGAAATGACACTTTAGGGTAACTAGGGTTTTAAAAAGTGACACCAAGACGTCCCCTTGGAGACACATGAAAATCTTTGGTAGTTTCACACCTCTTGCATCAGTCACACATTATTACAGTTAATGTGAATCACAGAAAAGGGTGGAGTTTCTAACTGTCCTGTAATCCAGCCACGCCAGGAGCGCCGCAGAAAGGGCAGCCTTTACGGTCATTGGTGGTTAGGGAGGACGAGTGGGCCAGAAACCGGACCGGTTCATGTTTCAGTAACGTGGTCACAGACCATGAGGTTTTCCTCGACCAACTGGTGGCGTTTCACAGCGTTAACATGTTGTCCTCTTTTGAAACTCTTATCGGAGTCGGGGTACTGGTCTTGCTAACTTGACCGCGGAGCTCTACACGTCTAAAAAACGATGCTGAAGGGAACCCAGGGCGTTAAAAAGGGACACCAAGGGGTCTGAGCAAGCGAGTCTGGAGGGAGAATGTGCCGAGGTGGTAGGAAAACTGGACTGTTCTGTTGTTTTATGAGGACGGAGGTGATTCGTCACCATCACGTCTCCACGGAGCAGCTTCAATTTCTGAGACCTGTGAAAACGAGTGTGACGGGTCCGAACCGGTTTCCAGGGTACACTGCGTGGACACCCGGTCCTGTGCCGCTCTGCCTCCTGGTCTCAGTCTCTGCAGCAGCAGTTTGAGTTTCAGTTTGAGTTTTTAATTTCAGTTTAGTTTGAATTTGTTTTGAAGTCGGTTTGCTGGTTTAGTTTTTTTATGCTTAGTTTTAGTTTTTTTAGACAGCTAAGAGACTGAAAGACAGATTTCATTTCCTCCCAAAACACCAGGATTATGTTGACATTCACTCACTGTGTTGTTTTGAAAGCAACGCAGTTCTCGCTGGTTGTTTTTTGTTTTCGGTAATGAATGATTTTTTATCACCTAGTTTTCCTCATTTCTTTAGTTTCTATTAACCTCGGTGTCGCGTTGAAACAGGAACATGCAGGAGTTAAGAGTTCCCTTCACCGGGACTGACAGGCTCGGGGACGTCTCCATCACATTTATCTCTTTAGACCACAGTTAGCTGTAACCTGCACCGCCTGAAACATCTGGACATCTTCTGAACCAGCAAATCAAATATTCACCCCACAGCAACCAAACAGCGCGTCAGCCAATCAGAAGTCTCCATTCGCCCAGTTAACAGAAACAGAACGTACCTGACAGACATGATGAAGGTGATGAAGGTGATGGAGGCTCAGCTCCCTGCAGGCTGATCTCTTCTTCTTCTTCTTCTTCTTCGGTTTCCCTGCAGAAGCCAGATCAGGAGTTAATCACCACCCGCAGCTCAGAGTGTGATGGAGTCATATCTAAATACATCGGTGGGAATTTCCACTCCTCCTCCTCTGTGATTATTTGGGGACAATCCTCGATTTCCAGCCCGACTGAGCACCAACGAGCTGCTGCTGCTGTTCCAGCGGACTTTGAGTTGGGATCCTGTTTTCACTTAATTTATTATTCATTTAAAAATCAGCTTGATCTGACTTTGCTGAAAACTGGTGCTTTAATTTAATCTGCCCTCAGGAAAGATTTTGTCTTGTTTTATTTTGTAGTTCAAACTATTTTAAAGGCGGTTTAGATTTAAAATTATTTGGATGTCAAATTTTAAAATAACTATTTTGATAATTGATTAATCTGTTTGAGTAAAAAAGTAAAATTTCTCTGATTCCAGCTTCTTAAGTGTGAATATTTCCTGGTTTCTTTCCTCCTCTGTGACAGTAAACCGAATATATTTTGGATTTTGGTTCCTTCACCATTTTCTGGCTTTTTACAGACTGATCAGTTAATCAACCATGAAAAGAATCTTTAGCTGCAGCGAAGTTCAGTCACATAAATCCTCTGATCACAGATGATCAGTCCACCCAGGTTTCTAAGAATGATCCCAAATTAAGAAAGAAAGTCCCTAAATGCACAAAGCAGGCTGCAAATAAAGACACTGCGTGAGTCACTGCGATGAGCTTCAGTAACTTTCCTCAGTTACACAATCTGATCAAACATTTTCTTTCAGGTTTCATCTCGGACCTGTTCGACAGATTCTGTCTGCAG